AAAATCAGTGCTGATCTCTAGTTTACACTTAGATTTGTTGAGTAAAGTATGCATTAAAAAGCGTTTCGTTTACATTGAGTGAGTACCTGCATTTCAGAATTGCGCTCCAAGAAACTGCTGGAGTAAACGCTAACCGCACCGTTTGGCAGGAAAACCTCTTTTATTCTTTGATGTCATAGAATGAGTTGCTTTAATTTACAAAAAAAAAAAAAAAAAAGAATGCACCTTTTATAAATTTCCATAACAATAAATTTCTCATTAAAATAACAATGTTTAAGTTGTTTTGTATAAATGAGTGGTAAAATAGCTCAGGAAACTGCCCTTACTAGAAGATGCACCTGTCAGATGTTAAATGAATGATTTTTTGTCCATTGCTGTGACAACGTTTTTCTTCTTTAAGCGATGCTGATGTTTGCAATACGAGGCCAAGGTCAGCACGTTACTGGAAACTATCGGCCTTACTCTCTCACACACAAGCAAAAGTTGAAGAACAAAATGTTTGGGAACAATTGAACTAAACAGAAACTTTCACCTGTGGTTCTGTCTGATGTGCTCTTTACAGTTGTCATGATCTAACATGGACTCAGCTTTATTTCAGGCAAAGAAAGGTTCATTTTAAAAAGGATACAGCTACATCTCTGGTCACACTTTGATATCAGTCTCAGATATTAAGATTTGGGAAACAAATAATCCAGATTTTTTTGCATTTTGATAAAAGATGCTTCTTTGTTTTGGAATATTTATTCTATTAGATATTATTGTTGATATATACTTTACTGGTTTGTTGTAACAAGGCAAGCAAAATACAGATCAAGCTTAAAACGCGTTGTTAGGAATAAAAAGGCGCTTTTATTGCTCACATTCAGTAGTTTATGATTTTATTGGATTCTCAAAGGTGCCGGTGTGCCTCGTTTGGATTATTGTCTTAAGCAAATCCAAGGTTGTAACAATATAATCTCTGCTCCGTCATTAGCTTGATGCACAACGTGAAGACTTCCTCTTAGCTTCCAGTGTCCCTACAACATAAAGCCTATAATTAATTTTTTACACAATGTTAACAAATGGTGTCTGTTTTGTAATTGTGGGTGACTCTCAACTACTACCACACCTAATTTTAGCTCTGTGTTTGTAAAACAGTTTGAGTTACAGCCATTTAAAAAAAAAATCTTCTAACAGTGTTTTTCAAAGTGGGGGCAGTGGCCCCCTGGGGGCCCGCCAGGGCCCGCTAGGGGAGCTTCAGAAAACTGCAAGAAGAAGATTAAAAAAAAGAAGCAAAAATAAAAATAAGTAATAATAATAATAATTATAATAATTGCACACTAGGGCAATCTGTATGTCATTTCCAGATAAACGCTTGAGAGAGAGCTTAGATTTCTCTTGTTTTATTCTTTTCAACTGTTTGTTGAAAAGTTGTTTTTTTTCAGTGGGAATATAATACAGTTTTCACAACATGTTAGTTAGTTTAAGCTCAGCAGCTGTAATAATTAATTGAATATAGTGAATAAAAGTTAAAACTTTCTGAAAGTTGATGTTTCTTTACAAATTTTGTTTGTGGGTTTGCGAGGGGGGCCTCAGCCAGAAGCTAATGCTGTTTGGCGGCCCATGGCATGGAAACGTTTGGGAACCCCTGTTCTAACAAACAAACAGCTACAAATATATTTATGTGCTGGACTGAAGGGCTCATCATTTTAAGTGTTGCCTAATCACGGATGTCCCGTTACGTTGTGTCCCTCAGAGTCCCAGTTGGTGTGCAGCTGCTGCAGCTTGTGCCATGCATTCCTCCTGAGCTTAGCGGCGCCCTCCTCAGCGGCGGGCTGGCAGGATGCCAGTGCAGGCGGCCCAGTGGACAGACTTCCTGTCCTGTCCCATCTGCTACAATGAGTTCGACTGCAGCGGCCACCAGCCCGTCAGCCTGGGCTGCTCCCACACCGTGTGCAAGACGTGCCTGCACAAGCTGCACCGCAAGGCCTGCCCCTTCGATCAGACGCCCATCAGCACCGACATAGACCTGCTGCCGGTCAACTGCGCCCTGCTGCAGCTGGTCGGAGCGCAGGTGAGGCAGACGGGAGGGGTTTCTTTCTGTTCAGATTGATTGCGAGTCTGTCACAGCAGGATAGCTCAACGTGTGTTTGTGTTTTTGTTTCTGGCAGGTCCCAGATGTTCATCCTGTGAGCCTGGACAGCTCAGCAGATGTTGAGCACTATGAGGTCTGCAGATTGTGTGTAGAAGAGCTGGCTCTCTACCTGAAACCTATCAGCAGCACAAAAGGTACCGAGCCATGTGCGCTCGCATAATGATCGTGCATTTGGACGTTTGTTGCAGAGAAGCGATGTGCGGGGGTTGCAGTTGAGCTGCCCGAGTAACTTGGCATTCGTTCTCACAGATCCTGAAGCTGGAAGCAAAACAAGTCTGCAAAATGATCCACAGAACCGATTGTTGAGTCTGTTTGTGAATGAAATGTGTTTCTTTTATTGCCTTTTTATTGTATCTGTAAGTTCTATCACTATAAAGCAACTGTTTACATCTTTTATTGTGGGTTTCTTATAAGTAATTACTATCTTACCTGTTGTAGTTAGCTCTGAATAATTAGGCTATGCTTACACTACTAGAAAAAATAGTCCAAATCCATTTTTTTCTTAATTTGCCAATTTTTTTTAATTTTTATGAATCTGAACATCACAAATCTGATCTTTTTTTAATCAGACCCAGGCCATTTTCATGTCATCCTAAATCTGATTCATATCTGATCATTTTAAAACCACCTCAGTCTGAAAATCTCGGAGATGTTAATTGTTTGTAACTATAGGTCAACTGATTTGGTGATGCTTATTTTTGGCCCATATCTAAAAATTTCCTGATCAAAATGTGATAAAAAAGTAATCACCTGAAATAAACAGATATTTAGCAGTAATTAGACAAATCTTTACACGAAAAAATATAAATAAAAGAGCATTTTTTTGTTCAAAAGCTAAATTGTGGGCCACAGAAAGCTGCTGGTGCGTCTTCATTTTCCAACTTGGTAATTAATTATTTATGAGCAAGGCTGACTGCAGATGTTTTAAAAGTGACCAATATCATCCAGAACCCCAGCTCAGACAGTGAAGTATCACTTTTAGTAAAGTTTTCATGACAACAAAGTTCCACAGCTGTCCCGTTTAACAGATGTGTTAATCCCTCCCGGCAGGTGTGGCGAACCTGAGTCCGAGCGTGCTCAGTCGGCCCATGCAGAGGAAGCTGGTGACCCTGGTGAACTGCCAGCTGGTGGAGGAGGAGGGCCGAGTGCGGGCGGTCCGTGCAGCCCGCTCACTCGGGGAGCGAACGGTAACCGAGCTCATCCTTCAGCACCAGAACCCCCAGCAGCTCTCTGCCAACCTCTGGGCAGCGGTGCGGGCACGGGGCTGCCAGTTTCTCGGGCCTGGTGAGTGTGCATGATGCACAGATGGACTAAATTATTCAAATAAATTGTCATTATTATAATGGGACACCATTATTCCCCTTGTGAGTGTCCTGTGATGATTACTCATAGGGCAGATTCTGACTGAGAACGAGTTTCTCATCATGATAACAGAATGAGTTGAAAAGTCTGAGGACACCTGTTCGGGTTGGAAATACAACCGTTTGTCGTTTGGATTCATGCACTCAGCGCTCCACATCTGTTCGTCTCGTCATTCTGCCATCTTCATTCCCCACCTGTTGTCATCACTCCCTCCACCGCCCTCCCCCTCAATGTTCCTCAGCCATGCAGGAAGACGCGCTGAAGCTGGTTTTGCTGGCTCTGGAGGACGGTTCGGCTCTGTCCAGGAAGGTCCTGGTACTGTTTGTCGTCCAGAAGCTCGAAGCCCGGTTCCCTCAGGCGTCCAAAACCAGCATTGGGCACGTGGTGCAGCTGCTCTACAGGGCCTCCTGCTTCAAGGTACAACCAGTCAATTTAATGTCGTTGTAAGCTTTGCAAACTTTCCACCACTCCAGTTACCTTCAAATTAACAGGGTCGAATCTGACGGCAAGTCTGAATGTTGCTCCTCATAAATTAAAGCAAACACATTCGGTCTGTGTGTATTTTTGGACCTGTTATCTGATGACGGCCATCGTTGGCTGGGCAGAAATACCAGTTATCCTCATGTGATGTAACTGTAGTCTAAATTTGCTCGTCGCCGCGCCGCTTGGCAGGACAGAAACGGAGGAAGATGGACGATCTTCGAAGAGATCAAACGCTCAAACTGTGGTTTTAGTTTTGTGAACTATGGCTGGTTGGTGTCTTGTGATGATTACTCATAGGGCAGATTCTGAAAAGGCGGGAAATCCCCTTCTTGTGATCAGAATTTGAGTTCATGAGTCTGAAGACACAAAAATTCTATATTTACTTAGTAAATGGTTGCATTTTAGAATTTTTAAAACATTTCCCTTTTGAAAGAAACCATCATTGACTCATTATCTAATCAAGAAGTCAAATGTGACAAAATAAATATGGAAAACTGATCGGAAATAAAGTCAATTTTATGACAGCAGCTGATTCAGCATTCATACTATTACCGTATTTTCTGGCATTTAAGTCGCTTCGGCGTATAAGTCGCATTATGCGTCACCGCTGACACGTCACATTTGTTATGTGCTTATTTACGGTGATGGTCAAAACAGCTTCATTTTGCCTGGGTGGCGCAGCACCATCCATCCATCCATCCATCCATCCATCCATCGCAGTTGGAGTCGCTAGCTCTCCTGCGTTCCTCCGCCTGCACCAGCTGAGTGAAGCGAACATGCACGGGAGGACTCGCTGTTGCAGTTCTTCAAATTTTAAAAAGTCAATCAAAAATTGCTTTATGAATACGGAAAATAAAATATGTATATAAATTGCTTTGACGTATAAGCCACAGGACTGACAAATCTATGAAAAAAAAAACTGCGACTTATATGCTGGAAAGTACGGTAAATACGGCATATAATAACTATATATTAGTTATTACTTCACTTACTGATGTTTATTCAGTGGCACATGCAAACACACCTGCGGGGTTCTAGCTTTTAGTCATACAGTAAAATATGTTTTTAGAAACTGTTTTTGCAATGTGTAATTAAAGGTTCTTCTTAAGATTATAAGAAGTTTTTTTATCCATCCATCCATCCATTTTCTTTACCCGCTTATTCCATTTTGGGTCACGGGGGTCGCTGGTGCCCATGTCCAGCAATCACTGTGCGAGGGGCGGGGGTACACCCTGGACGGGTCGCAAGTCCATCACAGGGCCACATAGAGACAAACAAGACAAACAAACATTCACTCTCTCACTCACACCTAGGGACAATTTAGAGTTACCAATCAGTCAAACATGCATGTTTTTGGTCTGTGGGAGGAAACCGGAGTACCCGGAGAAAACCCACGCATGCACGGAGAGAACATGCAAACTCCACCCAGAAGGCCCCTGGACCGGGGTTTGAACCAGGGACCTGTTTGCTGAGAGGCAGCAGCTCTACCAGTTGCGCCACCGTGCTGCCAGAAGTTTTTTTAATCTATTTTTATTTGCATTTTGGCCAAAAGTTTTATCGAACATGTTTTTTTTTTTTTTTCTCGTTTCTCCTCATTCTCTTGTCTCTTGCTGTGTTCTCACTGTCAGGTGACGAAGCGCGACGAGGACTCCTCGCTGATGCAGCTGAAGGAAGAATTTCGTATATACGAGGCACTGAGGAGGGAACACGACGCTCAGATCGTGCACATCGCCATGGAGGCAGGCCTTCGAATCTCACCTGAGCAGTGGTCCTCTCTGCTGTACGGAGACCTGGTCCACAAGTCACATATGCAGTCCATTATTGACAAGGTACGATTATTATTCATATATGAGTCATTAACTAAAGTTTGTATAACTTTAGATTTAGGAGCATATAATAAACTGTTTTATCTACTTATTTTAAATAGTCTTTCCTTTTTCTTTCATGTAATTTAGTTGCAGTCTCCAGAATCGTTTGCAAAGAGCGTCCAGGAGCTGACAATTGTTCTTCAGCGGACAGGAGACCCTGCTAACCTCACAAGCCTTAGAACACACTTAGAGCTACTGGCCAACATAGACCACAACACTGGTATGTTGTTTTATTAGACAGAATAAATCGAATGGCTGAATAGTGATCATTTAAAAAACAAAACTTTAACATTCACTAAGTGAGGGTGAGCAGTGCTCATAGTGTGCTTAACTTCACTCACATATTGCTTCTTTTGTATTTTATATGTTAAACCTAAAGAATCACAGATTTGCCATGAAACACATTCTTGTGTCTTGGTTTAAGCTATGCACACTACAGAACTTTGCAAAGTCAGGAAAAGAGAGATTATGCCTAGGCCTGTCACGATAACAAAATTTGCAGGGCGAATAATTGTCTCAGAAATTATTGCGATAAACGATAATATTATTTGAAATTTGACAATAATTAGTAATTATTGTCAAATTTAAGAAGAAATGTTGGTTAATTTTTCTATGTCGTATCGTTTATTCATCACTGGATGGCAGTATAAGACTGTTTGAACCGAAGGATGGATAGTGAGGGAGCGAGCAGCGTGTCTCTTTAAGTAAAATGGGAGGGAGGCACCTTGACGTGACATGGGCTGACTCTCCTTCCTTTTGTATTGGTTCTCAAAACATGCTCGGTGTGGTTTGAGCTGTTTAGCATAGCATTTTTCACAGAAAGCTTTTAATTAAGAAATCATTAAACAATTTCTCAGCTTCTTTTTGCAGAGAAAAACTTTTTACGCTAAGGCACGGGTTTCAACCGTGAATTTTGGAGCTTTAACAAGACAGAGGTTTTTTTCCCCCGAGGTTGGCCTGTTAGCTTAGCTCGTAGCTTAACTTCTCAGCTTAGCTGCTTTTAACGATCCAAAAACGCGATTTTGTATGGTTAAAATGGATTTTAAAGAGAAAAGAGAAAGGGAGGGGTCAGTGAAGAGCACTAGAGTTGAGCTTTTTGTCGTCCAGTGTCTTCAGTAGAAAGAGAGAGACACGAAGAAACGATAAAGCCGATAAATGAAAATGAGGTCGATAATTTTCATTTATCATGCGATTAATTGATTTACTGTTTATCACAACAGGCCTAATTCTAAGCTGATATTTCTGATGTTTTAATACCAAATTGTTCAAAACTTAATTTGAGAAAGCAGACCCAGACCATTAAAATGAAGAACCTAACAATTTGTAAATGCAACTGGGAGACTAATTGATCAAATAAATCCCTCAAAAAATTTGAGAAGAAATGCACACTTTCAGCTGCATCTTCACTAAATTGTTTGTGACCAAGTGACCACTGAACTGTGGGGCGGCCTGTTTTTGAAAATCACGGCTTATTTTCTTGTGCTCGTCTTGCAAAACTACATTCTTGTTCATGCACATTCTTTGGTTGTCCACCTCTGCACACTTCGTGTCATTTTGTTCCCACCTCGGCAGCCATCTCCACATGGTTTAACTTGCTGAAATGAAAATAAAATGAAGACAAAATCAAGAAAAGCATGTTTGGACTCGTTTTTGAGTCATAGTTATTTATCGGTGGGATTTTTAGACTTATCTACCATACTTTCCGCCATACATGCCGCACCGCCGTATAAGTCGCATCTGTCCAATTATGTCTAATAAAGTGGAAAAAACATAAATAAGTTGCTTCGCCGCATAAGTCGCATTTATTTTGCATCATCGCTGACGCGTCATGTTTGTTATGAGTCACCGCTGAAAACCTAGAAATGTGGGCCGGTGTGCCAAAAATCGATTGGTTGCCAAATTGCGACTGCAGGAGCGTGCACGGTAGGACTTTAACAAGAATTTAACAAGATTAACACTTAAAAACAATTATTTGTTTGCTCGAAATTATAGCAAAGGTGTGTCTCAGTTTAAGATTTCCTTAATAAATGCACTTTAACGGTCAAATCAGTTACATTTCCAAAGCCGATTCACAGCTACGGGAGCGCGCAGAGGGAGGACTCGCTGTGCATTTCTTTGACATTTACCAAGATTATCACCTAAAAACAATGATTTTTTTGCTCAACATTATTGTAAAAGTGTGTTTCAGTTGAACTTTTACTTAATAAATGCACTTTAATGTTCAAATCAGCTTCATTTCGCCTGTTATTAGTAGTTATTTTATATTTTTTTTAAATAAAAGGCAGATATAAGATTTTTTTTCTTCTTTCTTTCCATTCAATGTAGTTTTTTCTTTTTGATAAATTTGTTTTGTGTATTTTTTTTAATGAATGAATACATTTATAAATAAATAAATAAGTCGTAGGACTTGCAAATTCATGCAAAAAGGTGCGACATATACAGCGAAAAATACGGTATTTGCCTCGAAGGTTTTCTGTCAGAGAACTGGTGTGAAAGTGGCGAGACATCCGGGAGACATTTACCAACCACTCGCAGCCTAATGAGACCGTATCAGGGTGTAATCACAGTAATCTTTGTAGTTTATTAACTATTTTCTGAAATATGTCCTCTAAAATAATCCCTTATCCAAACCGACACTTTTTGATGTGTGTGCAGATGCTCCCGCTCCATCTTGGGAAGAACTGGAAGATGTGATGCTGGCGGTGAAGCTGGTGGTTCACGGACTGGTTGAATTCATACAGAACTTCAGCAAGAAGAGTCACGATGCTCCACAGGTAACGTCGTCAAACTGACAGCGACGGCTGACGGTTCTCTTTGAAGAAACTGTAGCGCGCACGTCTGTAGAAGAGGGGATGTTTGAAATGCGCTGCAGCGCACCACCTTCCTGCAGCACATTTAGTTCCTCCTGGCTGTGGCTCCAAAGAAACATTAAAAGACATGAAAGCTATTAATTATTTACCCAGTTTAGCAGCATTAAAGTAACTAACAGCTAGCAGATAGTGCAGCTGTGCACATTAAAAGCTGGTCTCTTAATAATCCAATCAAAAAAGTCTTTACTGGAGCGGATGGGGGCTGCAGAGTCCTTTGTCCTGGGAAAAATACTGTAGTTTTTTATGTTTTTATTATGTTTTTATTACAGTGTTAATCTAAGATGTGTGTCGTTTTGTTTTAATTTATGATACTGAAGGATTTTTTTTAACCTTTCTAACAGAAATAATCTTTTATATCTTCAGTCACAAATGGGAAATAACTGATTCTGTAACATCTAAATACGTCAGTAAAGGAAATAACATATTTTAAGGCCCGCCATGCCTTAAAAGCATGCACATGGCCCACTCTTTTTTAAGCTAGAGTTTTTCTTATGCGATGTTGTGAGATTTTTCATGATCTGTTAGTTCTTGAAGTGTGTGTTGAGAATGACTCACAGCTGCATCCACAGCAAAATTTTGCTCAATATCTGTAAAACTGACTGAATCATTAACATTTTTGTGTTGGCTAAGCTCAGTCAGCTGTGGTGGCCATCTTCAATTGGATTTACTCCAAAAGTCAATGAGTTGCAAATGTACATCGAAGAAGGCCTGTTGCAATAAACAATAAATCAATTAGTCGCATGATAAATGAAAATTATCAACCTCATTTTCATTTATTGGCTTTATCGTTCCTTCGTGTCTCTCTCTTTCTACTGAAGACACTGGATGACAAAAAGTTCAACTCCGGTGCTCTTCACTGATCCTCCCTTTCTCTTTAAAATCTGTTTTAACTGTCCACAATCGTGTTTTTGTTTAGTTAAAAGCAACTAAGCTGAGAAGCTAAGCTACGAGCTAAGCTAACAGGCCGACCTCAGGGAAAAAACCTTCATCTTGTCAAAGCTCCAAAATTCACAGTTGAAACCCGTGCATTCGTCTTAAAAGTTGTTTTTCTCTGCAAAAAGAAGCTGAGAACTTGTTTACTGTTTTTTTTATTAAAAGCTTTATGTGGAAAATGCTTTGCTAAAGAGCTCAAATCACACACAGTGTCCACCATTTTGAGAACTGAAGAGAGACAGCCCATGTCACGTCAAGTGGCCTCCCTCCCATTTTTCTTAAAAAGACACGCTGCTCACTCCCTCACTATCCATCCTTCGGTTCAGTCTTATATTGCCATCCGGTGGTTGAAAAAAGGTACTATTGTACATGCAAAACTAATTAACGAATATTTCTTCTTAAATTTGATAATAATTACTAATTATTGTCAAATTTCAAACAATATTATCGTTTATCGCAATAATTTCTGAGGCAATTAATCGCCCAGCAGAATTTGTTATCGTGACAGGCCTACATCCAGTGATTAATTTTTTAGGAGATTCACTAAAATTTGTTTAGTGATTCATGAGATATTTTGCTAACAGACAAACAGGGTTGACACAAACAGTTTTATAGAAAGATATATAGCGCTTTGGTTTGTGTTGCAAATAACTCAGTTCTATCATATAACATTTTAGCTATGCATTTCTAAAATTGGCCAGATTGTAGCAACTTTTGTGTCTTAAATAGCTTTACTGGTTGCATTTATTATCAAATTCAAACACAAAACCTAAATACGTGATGAGTGACGGCTTTACTTCATGAAAAGATGCTTTTTTTTTCCAGCTTGCAATTTGCTCTAAAATGAGGACAGGAGAGCTGTTTCTCTGGAACGGTCCTTTCAAATGGATCTAAATTGTCTGAATAGTTGAAATCCGTTCAAATACAGAGTATGAGTAGATGATGAAACCATTAAGAAAAGAACGCCTTGCCAACAGTAATATGTGCTGGATGTTCTGATATAGTGTCAGCAGATGGGTTCAAGACGTTTCTCGAACAGTAGGAGAAAGATCAGAACGCATCCTTGTTCTGTCGTTTCGTGGGTGAACGTTCGGGACCGTGTGGCTCCTCTGAGACGTGTTTCTGTGTCGTTCAGCCTCAGGCCAACAGCAAGTATAAGACCAGCATGTGCAGAGATCTTCGTCAGCAGGGAGGCTGCCCGCGAGGAACTAACTGTACCTTTGCACACACGCAAGACGAGCTGGAGACGTGAGTGATAACGTTAAAAAAAACTGAATTTGGGATTCATATGAAATAACTCTGATATTTAATTTTCTTCTTCTTTTATTTGGTTCAATATTATTTTATCTTACACCGCTTGTTCAGTCATTCTGCCTGTTTGTCATTTTGTAACCGCAAACTTGTATTAAAAAGCCAACTTAAGGGAGGGAAAATTAATAAATAAAAGACCAAACATTTCTTAAAAGAATGCATGTTACCTCCCACATTTCATGCCAAAGTTTTACACTCAGATCATCCAATGTTGACAAATGTGTTGTTTTGGTTAAACCTTGAAAATATAATCCCTCAGACCATCTTTACACATATACGTGACCCATGCTGGCAACATGAGTCGAAATGTGCACGGACAGCAGAGCAAAATAAGTAAAAATCTAGATTTTTGCCATAATTGAGATTTGTGTACGAGTCCATAAATGCACCATCTAATGATTCCTGTAATAAAACAGCATAAAATCTTCCTAATATACATTTAAATTAAAAACAATTATTTGCCTTATAATCCTAGTTTACTTTGAAAATGGTCATTAAATTTAATTTATATACTTAAATACAAAAAATTGTATCACTTTTAGTTTTTTCTTTAAAAAAAAGATTAATACATCATTTAATATAGACATCTCTTGCCATCTGGTTAACTGAAGCCAGAAAGAAGGCTGGATCATTCTGTCATTATTGCTACAGATGTGGAAAGAGTAACAGAACATCAAGTGAGACAGATAAAACTCTTGCTCTTGAACCTGTGACCAAGAAAATATATCGGGTATCTGACTCGAGTTAATGTATCAGCTGAAAGTGACCCGTGGCTCGGACAAAGTTTTTACATTTCGGCTCCTTTTGGTAACTGAGCTTGACACCCCTAAAAGCTTTTGAAATGGAGAATTTGAAAATAATAACTCAGTATTGAAATATTCTTCTCGGGACTCCTTTTGCCAGTCCGGGTCGTATATACTGTTTCACTGGAAACCACCCTTCTCGTCTCTTGTCTTATGTTTATGATTATGTCCTCTGATGTGTCCTCTGTGCCCTCCACTCCACGCAGATTTCGACTAAAGAACAAGAAGAGCAGCATCGTGGTCCGACCGTTCCCTCCAGCCAATAAATGCCTGAAAGACTCAGCAGAGACCACCGCCTCCCTGACAGAGGGAGTTTCCTGTCTGACTCACCCACAACTGATCTCCAGAGGGCCCGGCGCGATGGAGGAAGCCAAAAGAGCCGTGGCAAACGGAACCAGCATGGCTGACGGTTCCAACGGGCTCTCTGGTACCAATAGAATCCCATCAGGGTCAACAGAGCAGTAAGAGCATTTCTTCACTTACAGGCTGTACATGCTCTGTTGTTTGCATATAAACAATTCATTCATAATACTGCTAAAATTGCGTCTGTTGGTTATTATTATTAATTAAAAAAAATTTAAGCTAAAATCCCCATAATATAAAAATATTAAAAGATTGAACATTCTGTTTTTGCATGCATGTTTTTTTTTTATCGCCCACCGTGGGCATATGATAATGTTTTTGCCTATGTCTGTTTTTGTGTTTGTCTGTTAGCAAAATATTACGTGACCCTTTTTTTTTTTTTAGGAAATAATCATAGGATGTACATCTACAACTGATTAGCTTTTCAATGCAACTTCATTCAAGATGGCCGCCATAGTCACCTTATCTTAAAAAGGACAAAAATGGCTACAATGCAGTTAATCTTTCATATACTGAGCTAAAATTTGGTGTGGTTGTAGCAAGACTAATTAATTCTCAACATTTATTATTCAAGGTTCAAAGTTCAAGGTTCTTTATTGTCATTTGCATCACATGTGGTACATGAGGTGGAACAAAACTGTGTACCCAAGATCCCACTTACACCCAAAGATAGCAAAAATATAAAGTATAAAAAGCAACAGTATACAAGGATCTAAGATATACGCTAAATACTAATAATGTATATTAAATGGTATATTAAACAGCAGCCCATATTATTAGCGCTAACAGGTTAGCGCTAATAATATTTGTTAGCAAAATATCTCTTGAACCATGAGAGATTTTAGTGAAACCTTTGGGAAATAATCATTGGCTGTACAGCTATAACTGTTCAGATGTTGGAGCCAAGCCAATTCAAGATGGCTGCTTCATATCAGCCCACACAGAAATGTCTGTAAATCCGTGAATTTTCTAAATGTTGCTCTCAAATTTGATGTGGTAGTAGCTGAGCATCATCTACAACACATACTTTGAGTTTGACTTATGGTTTCAGTTCTTATCAGAATATTATATGTGTTTAAAACTTGGGCATGAAAGGCAACATGCAATATGCAGTACCGTATTTTTTGGACTATAAGGCGCAATATCAATGAACGCGTCCGTTTTCATACATAAGGCGCACTGGATTATAAAGTACATTAAGAGAAACAAAACAGTCAGATAAGTCAAACTTTATTCAACTCATTCACAATAACCACATAAAATCGGTTCGAGGTCAGTACCATATTTTTCTCTGTATAATCACAGTTTTTTGTACAATTTGCATGCCCTGTGACTTACACGCCAAAGCAACGTATTTATGGATTTTTCCTATATTTATAAACCAATTTTTGGCTGAGATATGACCGTTTGCATTCATTCTGACTGAAAATATTGAAAACTACCATTTTCAGCCGCTAGATGGCACTCGAGTTGTACGGCATGCCGTTGTATTGTGTAATAAGTAAATGTCATGACACAATCAGCTTGCCATAGACTGCCACCAACATCTGCCTGGATCTTCATTTTGCTGCGCCGCCCCAGTGAAATGCAGCTAATTTGACCATTGAAGTGCATTTATTAAGTAAAAGTTTAACGGAGACACACCTTTACTATAAAGTCGAGCAAATAAATAATTGGTTTAGGTGGTTCTCTTGTTAAATTTTGAAGAAATGTACAGCGGCTCATCCCTCTGCGCATTCCTACTTCCGCGTATTGGCTTTTGAAATACAGCAATTTGACGGTCAAAGTGCATTTATTAAGCAAAAGTTAGACTGAGACACACCTTTACTATAATGTCAAGCAAACAAATAATTGTTTTTAAGTGTTAATCTTGTTAAATTCTTGTTAAAGTCCTCCTGTGCACACTCCTGCAGCTGCCGTTCGGCAGCCAATAGATTTTTGGCACACCGGCCCACATTTCCAGGTTGTTGGCGGTGACGCATAACAAACGCGACGCATAATAGATGCGACATATACATCGAAGCGACATATTTATAGATTTTTCCACTTTGTTAGACATTTGGACTGATGCGACTTGTAGGGCGGTGCGACGTGTACGGCGGAAAATACGGTAAGCACAACCAAAATTAATGCATAAGGCACACCTGATTATAAGGCTCATGGTCAATTTTTGAGAAAATTAAAGGATTTTAAGTGTGCCTTATAGTCCAAAAAATACGGTATATTTTAATCAAGAAATGCTTGTCTTTTAATTTACTATTGTTAATATAATAATACACTTGTGTGTTACAGACCGAATTAATTTGTGTAGAATCTTATTATAATCTGTCGTATTATTGGTGTTTTTTTGCCCATTAGGAAGCCCACCTCTCCTGCCAGGACCCCAGTGAGCCACTCCTCTGCTCCGTCTGCCTTGAATACAGCTGGTGGTGCTGATGGTGCTTCTTTACCCAGACACGGTCAGTTCATTCTATCCACACCACATCCCTCTCAGGCGTCAGAGCTGTACTACCAGGACCCCCACCCTGCTTATGACACGACTCACTGTCAACCGTCCTGTGAGTTCTTAATTTCAAACAAACTTTTTTTTTCATATTCTTTAGTTTTCTTAAAAAGAGTGCAAATCATTCCTTCTACTCTCCAGCAGGTTCCTACTACCCATCCGCTCTTCACCCCCCTCACAAACCTTGTATGGCTCGTTTCCCCCGATCGTCCAACGTCCCAGAATCCTCTCTTCCGCCTTCCATGGGTCTTTCGCCGTCTTCTTACCCAAACAACCCTCAGACAGCACATCCTCCTTCTTCTTCGTCGTCTTCCTCGGAGTACCTACCACACCCGCAAAGGAACCGTATGGGACCTCCCCACTTTCACCCCCACCCGGGCCAACCCAAGTATGGACCGTTGGCACCTGCTCACGGTGTTTACGCTCCTCTCTACGACAGCAGGAGAGTTTGGAGGCCTCAGGTGAGCCTTCTAATAGCCGTCGCCTTGCTGTGTAATTTGATAACGCGGCATCTTAACTGATGAAGGCGATGATTGTCGTTGCAGCTGTACCACAGAGAGGATGCCAGGAGCAACTCGCTGCCTCCAGAGGTGCTGCATTCCTCCATCTACCAGCCTCCGCTCAGGGAGAGGTTCAACTCTCTGGACAACTACTGTTCTGGAGCTGAGCACCGAGCCGGGTTGCACAGGGTACATTAATTTATTAAATCCAACTTTGCACGAGGAAATCATAAAACATTTAAGGCCTTGGGTTAGGGTTAGAGTTTCATGCCACATTTCAGAGTAAACTAAATTGATCTTAAGGTGAAAGGAGCTGGTGTTATCGTTGTTCTGGTTAAACCTTAAAGATAACATTATGTGAAATCAAGATTTTTCTTGTTCCATTAGTACTTAAAGTATATGTTAAGGAGGACTCTCAGCTACTACCACAGCCGTTTCGAGCTTAATACATAAAAAACTGGCTGCATTATCATAATTTTTGTGTTAGGTATAGTTGATTAGCAGTGGCAGCCATCTTGAATCGGGTCGACTCCAAAAGTCATTCAGCTGTAACTGTACATCCAATGTTTACTTACAGTTGAATTAAAACTCCTTCACTGGTTTATGATATATTTTGCTAACAGATAGACAAACCAGCAGACACGTTATCACCTGCCTTTCATTTATGGGCGATAATAAAAACTTTACTCTTCAAAAATCAAAAGCACGCTTTCATTTTTACTTCTTCTTTCTCTTCAAAATGTTTCCATCATCACCATCGACCAGTTGCAGTTTTCACAGACGGAGCAGATTTATCTCTCCGTCCCTGTCAGCTGCTTTCCCTTTTCCTTGGTTTTCTGTTTTTACACCCACATACCACCTCATCTCCAGTCTCATCTCTGCAGCGAGGAGCTTCACCCTCCTCTGAGGCCCTCCCACTTCTCACCCAGATCCACATCACCCACTCACTCCTCTCCCTCTCGCACGCAGCATTTACCAACAAATGTGCCGCGGCGTTTACCAACGGCCAATTGTGGCAAACTGCATGATTTATGAAAACAACTGAACAGAACGGGACACAAAAAATATTAGCGTTTTAATTGAAATTAGCCAAAAGTGAGTCACAGCAACCTTTTAACCCTAACTATGGTGTGAAGAGAGGCTTTATCGTATGAACACATCATCAGTGAGGCCACTTTTGCTCAGTGCTGTATAAAAATATTTTCCTAACAGAAAATAAAACAAGTAAAAGGCTCAATTTTCTTAAAGGAATCGCCCACTAAGATCATCTTACATTAAGAAATGAGTGAGTTGTAGCCGTTTAAGTCAAACCTCGATAAAAATGTTATTATTTTACTTATTTTACGTGTTCTGCCCTTTTTTATTACTTTAACAACTCAGCTTCAGCTTCTTTTTCAGCCATTCAGCAATCACACTGCACTTTTACCCAAAATGCCAGAACTGATTTGTTCTCTCATCTCGGCGCAGTGCTCCGTCTCTCAGGACTACAGACGCGTTCCTCTCGGCTACGAGGATCTGTACAGACGGAAGCAGGACCAGTGGACGTCTATCCACCACCATCACAATCCCAGCAGGCCCTCCCAGTCTTCGCCCATCTTCACGGATTATGGAGCAGAGGTAGAAAGCAAATACACATGCATTCAACTAATTATGGCACATATTATTTCAAACTCTAATCCCACTGTGGCCAGTTTCTTCAAAGAGTAACAAGTTAAAAACACCATAAACAATGTTTATTCAATCCCTATTCCAAAACCGTACGCTTTTGCAGTGTCCGATGCAATTTAAGAGGAGAATAGTTGCCTAGCAACTCTGAAAAAAAGGTATCGTAGAAATGCACAGTTGTGGCATGTGTGTGGGTGTGTGTGTGTGAGCGAGAAAAAGAGAGAGGAGAGATTTTACCAAGCTGTGACTCAGGCGTTCAGCTGAGTAAAGCTTTATTTTATAGTCTTTCAGCTGGGATTGTTTTGTAAAACACACAATTTAAACTACCAAACAGTTTGTAAGTAAAACACAATGTCTTAAATAGTAGCGCATTTGTTTTTCTTTATTTTTAATGAGCCACTATCCTAATAAAATTTACTAACAATTACTGACCAATTATGATTCAGTTGAATTCAATATGACTAAATGCAATAAAGTTCTAATCACTTTAAAGCTTATTTTTATTATAAGTAAGAAAGGGTAAATAAAGTATGTTTAAATTTTATGTCTAAATTTATCACCAAATCTGAACTTATTCATTAGACAAACCAAGTCTCTGTAAATAGGTTGCACTTTTGAATTCCTCGTCGCTGGGGAACTTTTGTCTCCCCTCTCTGGAAGTGAGAGTAATTACAGTAACACCATTAGGACGTGCAACAACATGAAGAAATTCTCACAGTTTCAAGAGAATATACTGTAAAATCAACACGTTGAGACAGCTTTAATGCAATTAAAAAAACACTTCTAAAAGATATGGGGCTTTCTGCTTTTGTATTTTCTCATGATGCTGCGTTTTGCACATCAAGGCATCCTTAAACTTAATAGCTATGTCCTAAAATAGTTCACAATACTCAATATGGCATGTAACAGTGCACCTATAATGATGTGTGTCCTTACAGCTGTTAGCATTTCTGTGAAAACTTGTTGTTTGGATGTGAAACATCTGGAAGAGGGCCACCTGCATCATGAAGGACCCCACTCACCCAGCACACACACTTTTTGCCCCACTCCCCTCAGGAAGGAGGTTGAGGAGCATTTAGTGTAGAATCACTAGACTGAGGAACAGCTTCTACCCTGAAGTTATTAGACTCATGAATCTCTAATCAGGATAATCACGGTGAAACAATTACATCATGTTGCTGCTGATCTGTTTCATGTTGCTGTGTTCATTTGTGCTCATCACAGACTCATGTTTGTGCTGCTGTTTAGCGTATTGTTTTTGTACTACTAGTGCCTATTCTATTTGTAGTTAATGTTTTTCTTAGTTCATATTTTAGATCTTATTACTGTTTTTCTTTTACATTTTATACTTGTACTTTTGTTGGATATAACTGGGACCCTGTGTACACAGTTTCGTTCCACCACATGTACCACACATGGTGTGTATGACAAATAAAGAACCTTGAAGAATGTCTCAAAGGTTTTTCAAGCTGTTCTCCTTCCTTCCATCTGGAATGAGATACAGAAGCTTAAAGTCCAGACTAAAAACAGTTTTCATCCGTGAGCCGTCAGGCTTTTAAAATCATATTTTCAGGCGCAATTTACCGTATTTTTCGGACTATAAGGCGCATTAAGTGAAACAAAACAGTCAGATAAGTCAAACTTTATTCAACTCATTCACAATAACCACATAAAATTGGTTCGAAGTCAGTAAGCACTACCAGAATTCATACATAAGGCGCACCTGATTATAAGGCTCACTGTTGATTTTTGAGAAAATTCAAGGATTTTCCATTTCTTATACTATTTATTACACCATTCTAATATTTTATCAGAATCAGAATAAACTTTATTGTCTTTGTACTGGGATACAGTGAGATTATGTTCATACAGTCGTCCGAAAGATGGGCGAAGTGCACGTAGCTGCTGCTACAAGAGTGCGGCCTCTTATTGTTTATCAGAATACTTTTTTTTAGATAGAAAAAGGTAAAAGGCCATGAGGATGGATAGTGGTATTACAAAACAAAATCTCTTTATATTTATATTTCCTTTATATTGTTAGGTATGCCCCAATGAATCCAATCATGAAATATTCTCAAAGACATTTATTTTCAACATACCTGTCTGTGTGGAGCACAAAGAACTGCTGAACTAATGTGTTGTTTTTAGAAAATATTTTAAGTTTTAGCAACACAAGTAGGCTTCTTATGCAGGAAGCTAAATAGCAGCGTTATGTGTCTTTCAGCATATGGAAAGCAGTGGAGGTCAGTGCGCCGGATGCCGGTTCAGAGATGAGGAAAGTTTGTTGCGCTACTCTCCGTGGTCCTGCGGTACCGCCGGGTCCTGCCTCAGTCCCTTTGAGCCTGAAGCTCTCGCACAAATCGCAGCTCACTCCTGCTCGGAGCATCCGGTGAGGCTCCTTGCACATCTGAAGGTGGCGCCAGCTCTCCTGTGTTCTAAGAAAAACTGTTTGTTTAGTTTGATAAACGGTCCCAATGCGGTTCTCCTGCAGGAGGTGGACAGTAACGAAGGAGAAGCTGGTGGCAAGAAACAGTGGCTGCACACGTTGGATCACTACAGGCGTTTGAAGGACGAGGATCCGATTATTCCCTTCAGCGAAGCGCCCATTATTTCAAAATGGGGTGCCATTTCCAGGGCGGCTCGCACCGGTTACCACACCACCGATCCCATCCAAGCTACCGCCTGCCAGGGCAGCGCCAGCACCACACCCATCAACTTTAAAGGTTAGAAAGATGTTCTACAGAAAATATGAAGAGTTAGACATTTTCATTATTTTATATAAAGATATTTTGGAATATACTGCATGTTAAAAACATATCTGTACAGTCTTATATGTCATTTTTTACAAATTATCTCATTAATATATAATCGTATTTTTAGTGCATTAAAAAAAATGTTTGCATTATCAGTAGAGTCTTTATCTTCACATTTGACCCCCCTATAATTTTCTGACAGATTACAACCATCATTTGGACCATAGTGACTACAGGTGGAGCTCCAGAGGCTCTGACTCCTCCAGCCACTCCAGTTTCTATGAGAGGTGGGTCATTTACGTGCAAATACTACCGTACTTTCCGCCATACATGCCGCACCGCCATATAAGTAGCATCAGTCCAAATATGTCTAATAAAGTGGGGAAAATCATTAAAAAAGTTGCTTCGCCACATAAGTCACATCTATTATGTGTCACCGCTGACCACACGGTAATGTGGCCCGGTGTTGTGCCAAAAATCGATTGGTTGCCAAATGGCAGCTGCAAGAGTGTGTACGGGAGGACTTTAACAAGAATTTAACAAGATTAACTCTTAAAAACAATTATTTGTTTGCTCAACATTATTGTAAAGGTGTGTCTCAGTTGAACTTTTCCTTAATAAATGCACTTTGATGGTCAAATCAGCTGCATTTCGGCTGGGCGGCGCGGCAAAATGCAGCTGATTTCACGTTTGCTCCAGGAGTTCCGGAGCGAGACAAAGGTGGCTCTGTATGGCAAGCCAAGTGTATCATTAATAACCACTTTTACCTATTAATGAGACACTTAGCTTGCCGTTTTAGTTCGAGGGCCCTCTAGTGGCTGTAAATGGTAGTATTCAATATTTTCCATGTCAGAATGATTGAAATTGTCAGATCTCAGTCAAAAATTGGGTTATAAATATGGGGGGAAAAAACGTATATTAGTCACTTCGGTTTATAAGTGGCAGGACTTGCAAATTTATGCAAAAAGATGCAACTTATATATTGAAAAATACGGTAATTCACTGATTTAAAATCTGTTTTTCGCAGTCATGCATGTCTCTAAAGTATTAAATGAATGCTCATGTGGAATTGGGAACATTATTATTGCAGTTTCACAAAATTGATTGGATTGATTTAAGTATAGCCTCCTTCTTTTCCCTTATTTGTTTTAGGACTAAAACTAGAGACACTAGTTAGCAGTTAAAAACCCCACTGGGCACTAAAAAGGAGCCATTTCTAATCCATGTTTTCAGATTAAATAAAATATACCTCATATTTTTATTTATACAGTCTTAAACTAATATTTTAAATTTGCTTCTCTTTTTAATTGTCATAGATGTTGTTACAAATATGATAATATATCATTGTTGTATTTTAGTGAGCATCTTTGTGCATCGGAGCTGGACAGCTGTCAAACTTCCATAGGAAGTGGAGAAAACATTGGGTTTGACCTGCAAAACCGCCAGACCACCTTCAACCTGGATCAGAACCAAGCCGAGAGCGAACTGGACACGAATCGAGACATTGAGCTTGATCTGCGTGTTCTGGACATTGAGGACTCAGACAACCATGAGGTCAAATCACAGGTTTGTTTACATTTCATGATTTAAAGTTTTTTTGTATTTTGATCACGGGAATGTTTTTCAGGAGGTGATCTTAAGTGTGAGTTCTGTCATTCAAACCCTTTTACTTACACTGCAGAAATCAGAAAATAATCTTGAGTTTTCCTCCTAAAGTCAGGCTGTGATTGATGGCAACAAGTTGGCAAACTACATTATTAAGGAAATTTCTAAAATGTCTCAAAATGTTCTTGAAGGTTCTTAATTGTGGGAGTTGCAGAGGCTAATAATAAAGATCAAAGTCAGGTTATATTAGCTCTTCAGATGTTTAAATTCCAATGATATTTAGATGTTAATGAGTTTTGTAAGTTAAATATATAAACCAGCAAACACTGTGGCCAAGGTACAGGTCTAACAACCCCAAAATTGAATAATAATTATTTAAAAACTGTCCCAATCTGCTTGTCTTCACTTCAAAATTGTACTCCAGTAGGTTGGAACATTTATGTGGGGACAGCTGCTAACATACAGAATGATTCAAGATAGATAATGATGTGTGCAGTTAAATAATGTGCACGGCCTGGAATACAATTTTACAATCTGTGCATGCAGAACAAACTGTGGTTTCCCCAAAAAATTGTTTAAAATGCAGCAGTATGTCTTGTTGGTTGCAAACATTCAAAATTCAGTTGGACTGCAACAATTTTTGTTTCCATATTCTTGCTATTTTTAGTCGCCAACTAAAACTAACCCTGGTCAATGTGCAGCTTTCATGTTTTCTGATACTGTATTTTCCGGACAATAACTTTCTTTCTTTCTTTTTTCATAGTTTGGCCAGTTCTGTGACTTGTACGTTTTTTTCATGTTAAATGTTCAGTCATACTGACATGAACCAAAGAGTAAACAGTACCGTGTTCAGCCATGAGAGAGCCCTCTAGGCTTTTTCCAACTATATGTTGTTCATCTACCCCCCCCCCCCCCCCCCCAAAAAAAAAAACATTCACAAAAGTTCGCACGATATTAGTTTTACCTAAGGACCACATGTAATAAATAAATTACTCCCCAACGTCTGCTTTTTATGTGGCACATTTGCACGGGATAACCAAAGCCTGAGATTCAGCTGAAATTTACAGACTTCTTCCGGATATGATGTTAACGCACTGCGTTTTCACGACCGGGCCAGTGATGGCTGGACATGAGCACCATCGACCTCTGCTGAAAAGAAAGAAGCGGGTAAATATATGGATGGATGGATGGGTCAGCTGATCACGTACGCGTCTCCGCACCTGCTGTCATTTGCGGTTGAAGGAAGTAACAGCATTAAAAGCTGAAGTGAGCAGTGCATTCATTTAAAATAGCCTTGTTCTATAATTTTCCAAATGATTTTGCTTAAACAAAAACAAAAAAACACCTAATTACGCATCGGATCCCACCCATTTCTGTCCAAATCACAGAGATGCCTATTCGCATTGGATTAGTATTATCACAGGACCTTGGAGTTCAACAAAATATAGTAGGTAATTTGCAGGGGAATTTTTACTTTACAAATTACTGACACTGCCGATTCACACGGGATTAACAACACAGACAATCTCCATAATTATTACAAATAGCATGTGGTCCCTAGGTAAAACTAATCCCATGTAAATAGGGCTTTAGAGACAACTGAGAAAAACTTAACACAAGTAAAATGCCCCCAAAAGTGATGTAGAATGAGACTATTGAATTTACCGGTAACTTGCTTGTCGGACTCGTTGGCTTGTTATGTTAATTAATCCTGTTCAAGGTATGTTCTGTGTGTTATTGTTATTTCAGATTAAATATCTGTTCTTGCACTTTGTAAAATACACTTCTAAATAAATGCGACTTGTACTTCAAAGTGACTTATAAATTGTTTTTTCCTCTTCATGAGGCATTTTTTTTGACTGATTCGACCTATACTCCGGAGCGACTCATAATCCGGAAAATACGGTAGTTCAGTCCTCCACTGTCTTAAGTTATTCGTAAACACAACATTTAAACTCAGCCATTCACGTCTGCTTTCACTCAGCTGAGAACAGACAGTGAAGTCAAGATTGATTAAACACAGGGAGTGCCAATCACAACAGAAAATAAAAAGTGACTCAGTGCAATTGTTTGCTCTTTATCTTTGATTGTTTCACAGCAGGTAAGTTGTAAAGCAAAAATAGAAGGTCAAAGCCTTACTAACATATTTTGTTAGTTTTATTGTGGTGAATGAAGAAGTAAAAACCAAAAAGAGCATATAAAAACAGTTAATCTGACTTAATCTGCCCCTTTACTTTAATCTAAATTAGAAACTCCTGGAATTGAAATGGTCTTGCATTAAAAAGCCTCAGGAGAAATAAGCTACAGCAGCTTTTGGTTGAAATGTGCCTCACATGTGAAGTTCAACCATATCTCTCTGTTATCCCCCCTTTGTTTTTGCTTTCTAGGAATCTTTAGATCTGCCCAGCCCACCATCTCAGGATTCCTCCCACCTCCTCCCACCTCCCTGCTCATCTCCCCTGCGCTCCTCCTCTGTAGATGAACACCCCCAGACCAAAGGACTCATAACAGAAAAGATGGATGCTCATCTTCTGAAAAAGATGGCCTTTAGGTGAACTACCATCTTGCTCTGCAGGATCGTCCTGCGTTTAGTTGTCTTTGAAAAAACTGGTTGACAATTAGTGGTTTCTTAATCTTTTCTTTTTGCTTTCTTTTCTTTCTTTGTCCCTTTTTTATTTTATTTTGTTTATCAGGAAGTCTCTGTCTCCAGTAGGGCTGACCTCAGGGGGTCTGAGCATTGGGAAGCTGGTGCTGCGAACTGGGCCTCCTCAACTGGGCGACGCTTCAACCAGAGCTTGTCCTGAAACTCCTGGCACAGAGAAGGCGCTCAACGAGAGCTGAAGGTCGCAAAATCTGACACCGAGCTCAAATCTCTTACACAGATTCTGGTCAAAGGGAATGCCATTTATTTCCAGCCTTAATAAAAGTCAAATGCCTAAATAAAACCGGACAACTATAGGTTAGTGTGTAAAACACACCGGACCGCCCCCGAAGTGGGGATTTTCAAAAAAGGAATTAATGCTGATGTTGTTCTGGTTTACCATTTTGAAAGTGGCATTTAAAAGCAGAATTGGAGGAAATCATTATCTTTAACACCTGATTGGTCACTTCAGAGTACATATCACACACAGTGAGCTGTTTAGGAGCTAAAGCTCTTTGCTAACAACACAAAGAGTGAATTCTCATGTTTTTCACCTTCAATGAATGTACATGCAGCAATTTATTGATGCTGTATTTCCCTTCTTTTAAATATTCATCAGTGTCAACAAATATAAGCAAATTATTTTCTCCCAGGTCTGAAATAGTGTTACTTAGAGGACTGGATATTTGATTTGCTACAGTAGATTGTTCATTTGTTTACATCAGTCCTACACATACATAACCTTCCCATCTTTCTATCTGTTGCTTTTTGGCTTCATGCGACTTAGCTCGCTGTGATGACCCCTGCAAAAAAAAAGTTGCTTTTTGGCTTGTGCCTTTAAAAAAAAACTTGATTCCATAAAAGCAGATGCTGGTTAAGGCCCAATTTAGAGGGATAGTTATTTATCCCTTTAAAAAAATGCTCTTCTTTTGGTATCCCTTAAGAATGTGAAGTATAAATTGTGGTAACATTTTCCAGTTTTGTCCCGTTTGTTGCAAATTATGCCAATCAGAAACAATACAGTCATCTTTGTATTGATTTTTATTGTTAATTAATTAATTAATTTATTTGTTTAACTTTTGTAAAATGCCTTATTTCAAACCAACATGAAAAAAAAACACATTTATTTTATTTTTTTTTATTTTTTTTGTTTTGGTACTTTTTGCCTATTCAACATGTTTAGAGATCGTCATTCACAACTTCAGTTCCTGAAAGTTTGGACGCTGTGTAAATGATTGGTTTGCATATCTAATATATATATATATATATATATATATATATATATATATATATATATATATATATATATGTGTGTATATATATTTTATTTACATTAGACCATAATAACATATTGTATGTTTAAACTAAGAAATTGTACTATTTTCAGGACAGAAATAGTGTACGGTAATTTAGAAAGTCATGACAGCAGGACATCTTATAAAAGTTGGGACAGGACCATGATTCCCACTGTGAAACATCGTTTCCTCAACGACAGTCCGTATTTAGGAACATGGAGACCAAACGCTGGAGTTTTTGGAGGGGAACGTTGTCCCACTCTTGTCTGAGGAAAGACTTTAGAAGTTCCTGGATCATTTTGCTGGATGGTAGCACATGTTTTAAAACTCGTAAATATTTTTTCTGCATTGACGGTGCCTTTCCAGATGTGCAGTCAGCTTATGACAGAAGCACTAATGCACCCACATACCATCAGAGAGGCAGGATTTTGAACTTTTAATGCCGCATGGTCCATCTCTTCTCTTTAGTATGGAGGATGTGGTTTCCAAAAACAGTTTCAGATTTGTCTGTCTGACCACACAACAGTTTTGCACGTTGCCTCAGTTAATTTTAAATGAGCTTTGGTCCACAGAAGATGGCAGCATTTCTGGATGGTGTTCACATGTGGCTTCTTCTTTGTATGATAGAGCTTTAACTTGCATTTGTGGATAGCACGGTCAACTGTGACTACAGATAGTGGTTTGTGGAAGTGTTCCCGAGCCCATGCACTGTTGTCGACAACAGAACCATACCTGTTTTTAATGCAGTGCTGCGCCATGCAACATCAACTTTCAGTCTTTCTCTTTGAGCTCAAAGAATGCTTCAGATTCTTGAAATCTTTTGATGATATTATGAACTGTAGATAATGGGATGTTCAAAGTCCTCCCAGTTTTCTGTTATCCATTAAGAAACATTATTCTGCAATTGTTTCTACCTTTTTAGACACAGTTTTTCTCCAGACTGGTGAACCTCTGCTCATCTTTACTTCTGAGATTCATCCTCTCTAAAATGCTCTTTTTTATACCCAGTCTTCTTACTGATTTGTTGCCAATTAACCTAATAAGCTGCAAAATGCTGCTTCAGTTGTTTCTTATCTATACCACTAACTTTTATGGACTTTTGTTGCTCTTATCTTTTTTTTTTTTTATGTGGTGCTGCCATCAGATTTAAAAGTATCTTATATATTTGCTTTAAATGGTGCAATTTCTTAGTCTTAACATTTGATCTGTTTATTATGTCCCAATATAAAATTGGTTTTATGAGTTTTCAGATCATTCCATTCTGATTTTATTTAGAGCTTCACAACATCCCATACTTTTCAGAACTGGGGTTGTATTTCATTGCGTACCAACTTGGTTACAATTTTAACATGCTAGTTTAGTTTCATCTTTATCCACCGGTTCTGATTTTGGCGACGAATCCTGATGATTGTAAGTTAAAAACAATCTTGAGGCTCGCTCTGCAGAAGCTGCTATTCACAATCAACTCAAACATGCAACATGTGGCCTTTCTCTAATTAACCTTGTACAAAACAAAACTCTTTAAAATACCGTTATCACAATTAGAAAAGCGTTCTCAAAAATCTTAACACAGGGATTGACATTTTTGTATGCCCATATGCTTTTTCATTTCAGTCACTTTTATGTGCAATATCAGCCGGTCGTGGTAATAATGTTTCTTTTTGCTAATATCTTTTTTTAATTTTAAGCTATGCTAACTTCTATGAAGTTGTCTGCTGATGTATTTTGCATCTTTTTTTGTTTGTTTCTTCTGTTTGCTTTGTTTTAAACAAAACTGACAGTGCAAGTTTGTGTAAAATGTGCTGCCATCAGACCGCTGTGAGCCACAAGTCTTTTAGTTTATATGTCATTTACATACAGCCCTGTGGTGCCTCTCCTGTTTTTATAGTCACAAAGAGGCATCTTGTCCTTTGATTATTTAATAAACGGCACACAAAAAACATGCATCCATCTTAGAAAAACAGGACGTGAAGTCGTTAAATCTCAGGTTTGTTTGCTCCTGTGCCGAGAATTCTGCGGAATGAGTGTCAGCTATTGTGAAAATGGCTGCGGTGAGTGTAAAGGTCAAACTGTTGTGTCAAACAAGAGAAGGGGTGTTTTCTACAGTGTCACACACCTTGCTCAGAATAGCAACAAGAAGACATTCACGGTGACTTTAAGTCTCTTCTAAAACTTATGGGGTTTAATTCCGACCGTGAAAGGCAAGGGCTGATTTAGCTGCGACGGATCATTGATCACATTTCCTGCTGCTTTCTATTTACAGCTTCATCGCTGGAGTAAAGTGCCATGCTGTGTACAGTACAATCAACGCCTACAGCTTTGTATACCGTATTTTTTTAACTATAAGGCTCACTGTTGATTTTTGAGAAAATTATCAGCTTTTAAGTGCGCCTTATAGGCCGAAAAATACGGTAGTCCTGACATGGTGTAAGAAGGGAGATACGTTTGAATCGCTCAGGGAAAACTTCATTGGCTTTTGTTTTTCTCAGTGACCTTTTTGCCCGAAGCTTATATGGGTATATTATTTGCTAATGTTTACTTTGCTGGCCTGTTTTTTTTCAGTATCAATATTGGCTTTGCTGTATGAAAAAGGGCTGGGCACATATTGAAACTATTGTGAGCATAATGTTGAAGTGATTCGCCCTGTTTCTTTATTCTTTAGATATGTCTATGGAGCAATGCTATAGTGGCTAATTGCACTAAAACTAACTCTCACCACATTCACTGCCAGCGAGTGACCCCCCACCCACCCCCCGCATCCTGCGACTTGCATGCAATATAGTCCCCCCTCTTGTGATTGCAGAGGAGTAATGGTGATTCTGTAGTTGTGATACAACACACCCAGCGCTGTAAGAGTTCTCCACTGTGTGGCCACGTCAAGTGCTGAAGAAGTTTGCTTGCAGCGTTTTAATTGCTTGCTTATGAAGTTTAATTAATTATTAAAGATTATATTGTTATTATTACCGGTTTAACCACATTTGGTTGTTGTGACACGTTTTCTTTCTTGGTATACAAGTCTGCTTCATTGTTTTTATTTTTTTAATCAGACAACAGTGTTTCATTAATATATATTTTATGGAGACAAAAAAAAGAAGAGGCTTGTTTGTTGGTCGTGACACGTATGGTAATGATACAATGTTTTCTGAGTATTCATGTCTGTATTAGACATTTTATTTGCAAATCTATTGTTCGATTGAGATGTAAATAATTTTTTTAAAAGATGGTACACATCCATCATTGTATACAGTCAGGCACCATCATTAGATGGACTTATAGTATTAATGCTCATTTCTACAGCCTGTGATAATCAGATATATTTAAATGTTTAATAATAAAACCATTGGGGCAGTTGTGTAATGTCTCAGAACAAGGAAAAATCCAGTCCTTAGGAGAGAACGTCTAAAATGTCCCCATAAATGAATAATACTGTTACGTATTCAATTTATTTCCTTGGAAATATCACATTGTGAAAGGTTTCCCTTTTACTTACTGTATTTGTAATGCAGATGTGGAGTAAAGTTCAACCTATGGTGATGATTTATATGCTGTTAATAATAGATGAAGTAGTTTGAGTTTCATTTTACTGACTGATAGATTCCTCTGTGCGTTTTCGGGCCTGTTCAGCACTAAAATAGAGCTGCAGACTCAATGGCTGAGCAGGAAACCGTTTCTGAGTTGCACTGAGAGAGGTGTAAAAAGCAAGAGTACAGTACGTGAAACTGCATGCTATAATAAACTGAGAATTGTAGCGCTTGTTTGTGTTGTCTTCATTATTTATTTTCGTATTTGAAAGGGTGCAGCATGTGCATATTCACCTGATAAATATTTAAAATGTGATATTAAGAATATTCAAATTCAAAAACACTTTCTTAATCCCAAAGGGAAATTAAGGGTTGTCGTAGCTCATCATCCTGGTTTCATTCAAGAGTTGTTATAGATGCTGATCGCTGTGGGCAGGAAGGATCTCCTGTAGTGAATCCAAAGAATCTGGCTACAGATACTGATCCGTCCAACTGGATCCAGCTATCAGATCCGGCGGGCCTTTCGGTCCAGCAAGACTGCCCGAATGCTGAGCAGAATTCCTCCCTGAACGATGGTCACTCCTCCTAGCAGTCTTCTGAGCTCCTTGTCGCCACGGACAGACAGCTGAAGGTGCCAGGGGATGATCCTGATCCTCCAGTTGTCACGAGA